AAATCGTCAAATACTGCAAATGATCCAATATCACCAACATCGCTATCGGCAGAGCAATCTTCCAATCCAACTTCTATGGCCAATGCTACCACTTCAACAACCGACGCTACTCATCAATCTCATAATAATTCTCACCATACTCGTTCGCAGCATGCAAAAAGCACCGATCACAACAAGGATCCACAACAAAGCAACGATATTGAACAAGATAATGCACAAGAAGAGCAAAAAGAACAAAAGGGATTTAAAGGACAAGCGAAGAAAGATATGCAGAATGTTGAGGGATACGTGGCTGAACGAGACGGTGAGGTTATCGATGAAGCTAAATTAGACAAGGTAATTGGATTAATCTTTTTTCCTTTTTTTTTTTTAACTGTTAATGAGAAACATGAATCGGGATATATTGGTTAATTACGAGAAAATGAATTCAAATAACCTCGCTATCTAGTGGGCTAGTTGAATAATTTTTTTAAAAAATTTCCATTGAATTCGGATAATTAGGTAGTGAATATGATTTACTATTAATTTATAAAGCAATTAATTTCAGAGACAATTCGAATTGTTTTATTAGAGCAAAAAAAAAAAAAAAAAAAAAAAAATTGCAATCGATAAAACCACTTGTTCTTTTTCTCCTTAACAAATCATTAGCAGTTTATATATTTATTTATTATTATTATTATTATTATTTCAGGCCATGACATTTGTAAATGAAGAGAAGCAAAAACGTAATGCACAAAAACTTCACAAGTAAATTTACATATTTATTAATTTGTATTTTGTTTATATGATCAAGAGTAAACAGTTTACTAATCATTTTAATTTTTTTTTTATTCACAACAATCCAAAATAAAATTACAATAAACCAATAACATTCCATAGACAAAAAGATGCAGAAAAAATCACAGTATCAAAGGAAGATATTGAACTCATTGTAAGTTCCATTTTGAGGAAAAATTACAGACACAACATTTCACGTGTTTAAGACACAACAATGGCCAGCATAAAGTTGGATAAGTGGATTTTGGTAATGTCAGTCATCATTGTACCCGTAGGCATGTGGATGTTGTGTCCGTAGTTTCGCTCCGTTCTATGATCGCCTTTTGAAACTCTGATCAATCGTAATATGCTTATTCCATAATCACGGGATATGTTATTAATTAGGTAAATGAAATGGATGTAACAAAGGCTATAGCTGATAAATATTTAAGAGAAAACAAGGGTAATGTGGTAGAAGCATTAAAAGCAATAGTGAATGCTTGTTAACCGTTACAATTTAGTTTATATTTTTGGGTAAAATAATCCAACAATTTCAGATTGGATTAATCTGAATGATTCTAAATTCCGTCAACTAGGGCAAACATTTGGATGCCCTAGACTCTTTATACTTCCAATATGATCCGAAATTAACAATTGTTACGTATTGCTTATTTTATTACTAAATAAAGCAATAGAAGTTGGATTGGAAGATTGCTCTGCCGATAGCGATGTTGGTGATATTGGATCATTTGCAGTATTTGACGATTT